CCCTACAACGCCCAAAATTGGTACTTTTTAATTATAAATTGTCTCTATTATTAAAATTTAAAAATTCAAAAATATATTTAATTTATAATCCTATTATTTCAAAATTATATAAAAAATATTTATTTATTTAAAAATATCCGAAAAGAACTTCTAGGTGCCTCAAGACAGCTCTTTTCTTTGACATTGATAAATATTGATTTAAATAATATTGTTTACTTTTTAATTATAAAATATCAGAATAGGACATCCAGTTGTATTAAGACTGTCCTTTTCTTCGATATTAAAAACAAATATTAAAAAAAATATTTATTATATGTATATTTATGAATATATATAAAAATATTTAACAGTATAATAAAAAAAATATCACTAAAACAATATATTTTAAGCAATAAAATGAAACATATAAAATAAATAACTAAATTATGAATAAAATAAAACTAAATCTAATTCCTAATTAATTGAAATTATAGGGATTAAATATTTTGTTTTCTAATTTTAATAATTTAATGACCAAAATGAATTTATTTAAAATTTAAATTTTATAACAAAATTAATTAAAAATATGAACTAGGGATGAAAACTTTATTTATTAAAATTAAGGGATTAAATCTGTTATTTATCCTAACATATTATTTTAATAAAAAGGACTAAAATGAATAAAATTAAAATTCAAAGACTGAATTAAAATTATTATAAATTCAGTTTAGTGACCAAAATGTAAAATTTACAAATACGAAGGACTGCGGACGGGGTTTAACTATTTCATAATTACGCGCATAGTCCTTCCCGAAACGACGTCGTTCGGGAAGGACTATATATGTCCAAAAACCGGCTGGCCCGAAGGGCCAGCTTCATTTCATCATTTCTGTTCTCTCTCTAACTGAGAGAGAACAAATTTCTCTCTGCCCTCTCTCTAGCTTCCCTCATCGGAGGGAAGCCGGTCACCGGACGGCAACCGTCTGCCGCCGTGACCATCACCGCCGGCCACCGCATCCGGTGGCCGGAAAAAAAGATTTTTACACTAATATATAGATCGGACCGTCCTAAGGACGGTTCCGGTGTTATTTCTTCCTAAAAGGCTCCCAATCGGAGCAAATCTACAAAAGTACCTTCGTTGTTTCGAAGGTTCCGGTGAGATCTGGTAGTCGGAGCTTCCTCGGTAAGTTCTCTTCTTCCTTTTTCCTTCTTTTTTTGTTTCTGCTTATGGGATATTTGGCTGAGATCGTTGGTTAGTATTTTTTTTCTTTTTCTATGTGTTTGTTTTTTTCTTTTCCGTTCTCTGTTTTTTCTCTCTGTTTTTCTGTCCCTTTTTTTTTTCTTCGCAGGTGGGGTGGTGGCTTTTATAGCCACCACCGTTGTAGCCGTCGGACCGGTCCGAAGAAGGGCTCTCGGTGAGTCACCGGACTACCAGTGGTGACTCACCGAGTAGCCATGGCGTGGACGGCTGCCATTTTATCTTCTGGAGTCTTCGGTTGGGACGTGGCAGCGGCGTGGCGGCGAGAAGACTGTCGGCAGCCGCGTGGAAGCTGGGGCGGCGCCGCGTGGCCCTAGGGTATCAAACCCTAGGGTTCCTCTCTGGAGCCATCTGGACCGTTGGATCTTGCCAGATCCAACGGCTATGAGCTGAGGCGGCTGGTTAGATTAGGGTTAGGAAACCCTAACTGGAAACCCAAATATTTAGGGTTTCTGGTTGGATCTGGACCGGTTCTGGTTGGTTTGTAACTGGGCCGGTCCAAATGTAATGGGTCTGTAATTATTATTATGTATTTAATATATTTAATATAAATTAATAATAATAATAATAATAATAATAATAATAATAATAATAATAATAATAATAATAATAATAATGATAATAATAATATTAATAATAATAAGGATAATAATAATATTAATAATAATAATATGGATAAAAAAATTTAGTATCTTCAGGATATTTGCACATATTTAACTTATTTCTTTGTGCACGAATCAAGTGATTTTAGTGGTAAAGGTATTTATTGTTATTCTTTGAAATCTCGAGTTTGACCACCGCGTATACAGGTGTATGAGCGTTCATTGTCAAATGATTGAGAGATTTGAACATATACTATTTTATATTCACTCCATAATTATAAAAAAAATAAACTTATTTAAATTTATCTTATATTTTATCAATAATGAATTCTGATAATTAATATCCGAATTCATTTTATTTTTGTGAAAAACAAATCTATTTTATTTTTAAAATCTTATAATTTAAATTTTGAAATACTCACTAAATGTAAATATTTAGTGTATGTAAAATGCATATAGATAATTTTATTTTTTTCAGATTGAAATTGTGATAACAATATTGAATTTAATATGGATAATAAACAGATTCAAATCTTATAATAGACTATGTAAATGTTACATAAATTGGTATTTTATCATTTTTTATGCAATACATCCTTTTGATAAATAAAAGTAAAATAATTAATTTCTTACGAGTCTCGTACCACATCCTCCCGGATGTTATAATAGCAACCATGATACAGCTAAACGAAAATTAGTTGACTCTATTTATAATCCTAGGTCTGTATTTATAATATAGAAAAAAAAACTAATGTATAAATAAGAACCTCATACAAATTACCGATATGGGTTGATTCAATTAATAAGTATTTTGATATCGCTTAAGCAATGTTTTGAGTTCGAGTCTTTATGTATGCAGAAAATCACTATTGGAATACTCATCCACTAAAATCAGGTATGCGACGTAGGTTGGTTCGGATTAATCGGGAATAAAAAAAACCTCATACAAATTGATAGTTGGAAAGTTGACATCAATATTAGATGCACCTAATATTTGTACAAAATGGACTTCTCCAAAATTTATTTATGGCTATACTTATCTTGGATAAAGGTTTTTAAATTTGGATATTAAATTTATTGATTTTAATATTATGGACCCAATCAATTACAAAATTCAAAAAAAGCAATATTAATCAAAATGGAAAAAAAATTCTAGAATAGGGTCAAACATTATATCCACCACTAATTTTATAAGGTTAAATTTATAAATAGACGTATCAAAATAATCTTTTTAGATGCCAAACTTCCAAAAGTTATATGATAGACATTAAACTTTATATTCCGTTATCTACCATTAAAGATGTGATGTGACATACTAAATTAATAGAAAATATCTCATTTAATAGTTTAATTGTAACTAAATTTCATTTTACTATTAATTTTGATTAAAATAATTTTTATTATGTTCATTGAATTGAAAAAAAAATAGATACAAATAAATTAAATATTATTTTTAACTTCATATTATAAAAATTGAATTTATACCATAGAAATTACTTGATACATTATTAAAAGTAAAAGCTTGTTTCAATTATTTTTATTTAAGTTTGGGCGTATTTTTCTTATTAATGTGATACTATAATTTTTTGAATGTATTTTTTAAAATTTTATTTTAGCTTCTTAAACAAAAGTCAAGTGTTTGAATCATATCGCTTAATAAAAAATAAATAAATTGTTTAATAATTCAATTTTTTGGATCTCAAAAATTGTAAATTTTTAATTTTATAAATACAACCACGATTAATAAATAATTAGTTATAAAACAATTTGATGAATGTTTTTAAAAAATAATTTTAAATTTTTTAAAAACAAATTATTTTCATATATTTGTAAAAAATCTATTTTTTAAATTATTAATTAATAATATTGAAAAAAAAAACAAAAATGAAAATTTCGTTATATTTGAGCGGTCAAATAAGATATCTCCTATTAATTTAGCATGACACGTCACCTCCTTAATAATATTTCACGTGTGCTATCTACTTTTAAATAAAACTTAAAGTTTAATGTTTATTTTATAACTTTTAAAAATTCAATGGCAAATGAAATCATTTTAATAAATTTAATGACTATTTACGAATTTTTACCATAATTTTATATTAATGGTGCATATCATCACACATCATTAGTGTTACACATCAGTGTGTGTCACTCACTCTAGTCTCATCCATTTCGAAAACTCTCAAATATTTTGATAATGAACACTTATACACTAGTCTACATGATGTTTGAATCTGAAAATATTGAGAAATAATAATAATTTTTTAATCACTTAAAATAAATTCTTGATAAGAAGTTAAATTTTAAAAGGTAGATATTATGAAAGATTCAAGTTTAACATACTAATTGAGTTTCTTTACTTTTGCTTGAATTCCATGCATATTAGACATACTTTTTAATTTTAATTTATATTGTTGAATTTTATTTTTGAAAAGAAATAAAAATAGTAAAATTCAATCCAATTAGATTCCTTATCTACACATAAACCGATACAATCCAAATGACTTGCCTTGCTATTATCATTTTAAAATTATTTTAATAGTTTATAATTTTTTTAATTTATTGATAATATAAATATCTTATTGATGTAGTTGTACAAACTTCAATTTTTTAAAAAGAATAATATTCTCTTTTACCACGGTCACCAACATGTATACGAACTCGAGTTTTTAAGAAAAAATAGCATTCTCTCTTTAAGTTTTATCACTTAAAGGTCATCAAAAACAGATGCACACCTTAGTGAGGATGGGCAAGTATCTATCCTAATATCCGAAATTTTTCGTATATATCCATCCTTAACTTTTATTTATACTTATCCCATATAAAATTTTTATACAATATATATTTTTGACTACCTAAACAATATCTCTGGATCCACACTAAAGACTACACTAGATTTTAACTTGAACTGGAATATGGTATTTCATGTATATTTCTCGTTGGAAAAAAGAATTATGCAAATCTTACAGATGGAAGAATTTCCTTCAGTCTTACCAAGTATTCACATGACCCAGCCAAGAGGAACCTTGTCCCCCACCAATTTATGCTACCCGATCTCTCTTTGGTCCTAACAATTGTTAGCCAATGAATTTGACAAATAACTTTGATTGATTGTTCGAATCCTAAGATCACATGCAGATGTGCTTTTAACATGTGCATGAATCCCAAAATCTGTATGTATAACATTCAAATTCTAATAAAATTGTGTTCAAAATGGCTTCTGAAGATACATGAACATGTCCTGCAAAGGTGACAACTGTTCCATCTGGTACTGGACTTGACTCGCAAACGGGTCATCTTGGAACCCACCATCCATGTAATTGAACCCGAAATCAATGCCATTGTTGCTTAGCTGAAGCTCCTTCCACTTTGGTTGACTCTGTACCTCTTTCTCCCACGATACTTCAGGTGACAGCACCTGCCCCGACGAACTCGAATCCGTATGCAACCTCGGGACCGAATCATCCGTTTGTATGAGATTGCCGTTCATCATCGACATCGATGACGGTTGTTGCTGTTGTTGTTGCTGGGATAGTGCTGTCATGTTTTGACCCTGCATTAAGATGTTCGGTTTCTGATCTTCCATTTCTGGGTAACTCGACCATTTTTGTTCACTTGGGGAATGCTTCTCAATGCTTCCTTTCTTGTTGTATATTCGACATAGTACCCAATCATCAAGCTGCGATTATAGAGAGAAAGCAAATTATTGTTAGAAAAAAAATGCAAATTAACAGCTAAAAATCTGGACTTTGTTGGTCAAATAAGATGGCTTTAGGTGAGAAGCGATAACCCAAGTTGGAGACTTTCATGTGAAAAAAGGGGATAAAATGCTGATTTTGACCCTTAAAACAAAAGCATGGTAAAAAGGTGAAAAAAGTTGAGAGAATTTACCCTCAAGTTGTTGCTCTTTTTGCCGGCGGACCTATCAACATTGGCGAGGCGGTATTCGTGCATGATCCAATTGGTTTTGACACCGTGTGGGGCTTTGCCGGAGTAGAAAACGAGTGCCTTTTTTATCCCCAATGTTTTGGGCTTCCCGATGGGCTTGTCCGCTCCGGTTGCCTTCCAGTATCCCGTTCCGGCCGCCCGATTCGGCCGACTCCCGTTTGGGTATTTTCTGTCCCTTGGTGAGAAGAAATACCACTCTTTTTCACCGTACAAAGCCATATCTATAAACCAAATGGAAATGAAAATTAATTAATTAATCACTGCCTCAAATTTCAATTTGAAAACATCATTTATCCCAATTTCAACAAGAAAATATGACTTGCATGGATTAATCGGCCAAAAAGTTACTGCATTTACCCCAAATTACGAACAAAAAAATGAAACAAACTAATGGAATTCCGAGAAAATCCGAATCGAATCCCAGATGCTAAACTCTGTAAATCCAGGGGGGGGAGATAAAGGTACCTGGAAGCTGCCATGGATCAAACTTGTAGAGATCGATCTCAGCAATAATGGGGACAGCAATAGGCTGAGATGCACATTTCCTACACAAATAGTGATTCACCAACTCATCATCTGTAGGATGGAATCTGAAACCCGGTGGCAACTCCAATTCTCCCTTCATTCTCTGCCCTCTTTCTCTTTCAGAAAAAAAAATAACAATTGTAATTTTTTTCCTTTCGATATTCTTTGCTTTGTTTCTGCTGTTGTTGCTGCTTGGAGCTTTTGAGGATTGAACCAAAGAGAGCGAGTGAGGGGAAATTTTTTATAGGGAAAAAAAGACACGTGCGGGGTGCTTCTGAGAAACCCAAAACGTGCGTTTAAAAGCAGCAGGGCGACCGTTTTTCTTTTCGTCGCTGACCGCCGCCCCTTAGACGAAAAAAATGGGAGGGGACACGTGGGAGCGTGAACTCTATGGGTTTAAAGGTTTGATTATGTCATGGCTTCCGTCACTGCCTTTGGACGTTTCCACAAGTGGCCACGAAACGCCTCTTCATCCATCATTGACCGACATCGGGTTCTCAAGCTGTTATCCACTACTAACCTGTCCTTTATTTCTCATGCTACGCGCGCCTGCTTACCAATTCATTTGTGCCACGTCAATACTATAAATCTACCTTTATTTTCGTATAAAAAAGCCATCGTTTTGATCAAGCTGGAATGATTGGAAATGTATAATTAATATTTAAATTATATCAAATATATTTTTAAATGAATTTTAAAATAAAAGGTTAAACAACCAAATATTTTATCTAGAGATGATTATTCTTTTGATAATCTTCTAAATATTTGATCTCAGTGGATCTTGATTTTATCTTTTCTAAAAATTATTTGTTAAATTATTAATATAACAGATAATAATATCTATTGAAAACATTATCTTGTCGTTATGAATTCTGGCATAAAGGTATATTTAAATTTCATAATATTCATGTTTAGAAAAATGATGTAAAAATAAACAAGATGTTGCAACATTTGGCATGATACTTTTTTCTTCAATGTGTTAAATTACTCGCAAACTTTTTAAATTAAAAATATATTATATATTTAAAAAAATTAATTTATAATTTTAAAATTATAATAATTATTATTATTATATCAATTGAATTAAACTATTTAATTTTAATATAAATAATCGTTTGTTATTAAAATCGGATGACTATTTTTAGAATTTGTGAATATGAATATGTTTATATATGATTAATTATCATTTGAAATTTTAAAAAACAATTAAGTAATTTAGATATCTTGAAAAAAAACAATAATAAATTAATAAGTTATTCCACTTTTTGTGTGCTTGTTTTAATTATATATCATCTTTTTTTGGGTTAACTACAAAATAATTACTTTTGTTTCAATTTTATTATTTGTTATCATTAAATTTAAAAAATTACGTTTTGATCACTTATATTATTGATCTATTATATTCTGGTCACTTACACTATCAATTGTTATATTTGATCAAACCCATTAACTCATATTAATTTGATGAAGTGGCACATTAATAAAAAAATATTAATTTTTTATTTGACCCCTGAACTTCAGATAGAATACTATTTTGATCTTAGATTTTAAATAAAATATCATTTTGACTTCTAAACTTTAGATAAAATATCATTTTGGACCCTTGAATTCGACCAAAGTATCCCATCGTCGGTCACCACTCACCACCGTCATTGATGATCTCCATTGGCCGTAGTTACCAACAATCATTATACCTCAAAATTTTTAATTCGCTATCATTCAGTATCTTGAACATGAATTCAATGTTTGATTCAACATAAATGACTCAAACTCAATAAATCTAACTTAAAATCTTTCAATTTGTTTTAAAATTAAAATTATAATAATAATAATGAATTGAATTAAAAAAAAGTCCGATGACTTGAATCCTTCAGCCAAAAACTTTTGGATTGGGATCTACAGTGGTCTAACTAACTGCCCTGCATATGTCTACCATGTAGGGGTGTTCAAATAACCGAACTAATTTGGTTAACCGACCGAACCGAATTAGTTCGGTTAATTCGGTTCGGTTACCGAATTAGTTCGGTCGGTTAACGGTTAAGAAAATTTTTAGAATTCGGTTAATTAATCGAATTAACCGAATTAACCGAAATTAAATTTTAAATATTAAATATATTATATATAACATATGGGCTCAACTCAAATCATTTAAAACCCAATTAATAATTTAAGATCCAATAACTTTTAAACTTAAATCAATATTAATTAATTAAAAAATTATATAAATTTTTTATTTTATAATTATATATTATTTAAATTAATTGTAAACTGTTTTTTAATTAAAAAATATTAAATATAATATATATAAAATATGGGCTAAGCCCAAACCATTTAAAACCCAATTAATAATTTAAGATCCAATAACTTTTAAACTTAAATCAATATTAATTAATTAGAAAATTTATCTAAAATTTTTATTTTATAATTATATATTATTTAAATTAATTATAAACTTTTTTTGAATTAAAAAATATTTAATTTTTATATAAATTAGAAAAATTAAAAAAAAATTCGGTTAATTCGAAATTAACCGAAATTTATTCGGTTCGGTTAATATGTTCGAAAAAAATTCGGTTCGGTTAACGGTTAAAGAAAAAAAAAGTTTAGTTAATTCGGTTCGGTCGACCATCGTTTTAACCGAATGAACACCCCTACTCCCATGAGTCTCCAAAAATGCATTGAAGTGCAGATTTAATTTTTTATAAAATAAATTAAAACGATGTGTTCATGAATCTAAGATTTTAAAAATATAAATAGTAGGTAAGTAAATAAAGAAATGAGAAGATTTCTTGGAGGCCAAGCATGAGGGATGACCAAATAAGCAAAAAAGTTCCAACTTCAACGCTACGTGGCAATGGAATCCTACGTCATCCGTCAACACTGCCCCCACGTAATCCAAACAAGCGTCATCTCTCCGCTGGCCTCTCTAGTCTCTGGTGTCCCTTCGAACGAATGTTTTAATTTTTATATATTTAATAAAAAATATATATATTATTTACAATATTTCGTTTAACTAATATTATTCAACACTGACCAACTTCTTCGACTTGCTGAACTTTATAACTTAACATTTATGGTTTCGAACATGTGGATTCGATATGTTTAATACGTAAATCCCCTTCATTTCATTTTCAAGAAATGTTCATCCAACAATCCATATATTTAATCTCTAAGGTCCGTTGAATGGATCCTACTTCTCATTTTTATGATTAATTTAGTGAAACTGGTGTGCACAATAGGAGACAATGGGAATAAAATACTGAATTATTACAACATTAAGTTGGAGTTAGTAGGAACATAGGGTATTAAACTAATTGCATTATAATTAATACATATGCAAAACACTCGGATTATTTAAACTTTCACGATAACTAATGTGTTGTTGTGAGATATTTAAGTTTTAATCATCAATTTAATATTGAAGTTAGTCGGTATTTCGCATGCCAGATTCTTTTTATTGAAATTTTGCCTACTTTTAAGGTGTTTTTAAAAATAATCAGAGATATAATTTACAATGAATGAAAGGTCAACAATTTATGTATTATATTCGGACCAAACATACAACATGGGCGTGGCTAAGATGTATGAATGTCGGCTTTATGGATAAGTATGAATGTCGGCGTTCAAGATAAGCATTGACTTTAATAACATAATCTATAATTCACCTTCTCTCATTAAATTCGTATCACACGGCATCATGCATGCGAGAAGAATGATTGTAAAGGAATTTACAATTCGTCGTGTTTAAATAGGGGTAAATTATGTATTAGTTTTATTTTGATCGCCGTACTATTTTTTTAAGATCATATTTAACATTATATTTTAGTTTCGTTTTAGTTATTCTCGTCGCCAAAAAAGTAAACAATTTTATTGATGTGATGATTTTTTTAATGATATATGACAATACATATCACCGTTAATTTTTGAGCGACGAATGATCAAAATAAAACTAAAACGTAATGTTAAATATAATTTAAAAAATAACTGGATGACCAAAACAAAACTATGAAAATAGATAAATGATAAAAAAAATTGTTTTAAATGTTTTAATGTACTGATACAGAAAGAAAACATTTTATAACAATCTCAGGTGGGTTCATATTGGTAAGCGTATATACAAGAGTATTCTCTTCTTAAAATTAAGAAAATTTCTGGTGGACATAAATATACATTCAAGACCTAAATTATCGGAAATGAAATTGATTCAGTCCTACTCCTATCTAATCAAACCAAGACAGAGAAGGACCATCGTGATTTTCTTTTCTTTTTTTCTTTTTAGCTTTGTATATTATTTTTATAATTTATTTTATATTTATTTATAGGATAAATTACAAATTTTATCACTGAGCTTTATTATATTTCCTATTTTGCTCACTGAACTTTAAAAGTTTAAAGTTCTCTCACTAAACTTAATACATTGGGGTTTTTTTTTATCACTGAACTTTACTATCTCTCCTATTTTTGTCACTTTACTATTAAATAGTTAACGGCGTTAAAAATAATGTCATTTAAAAAAATAGAATTTTCAACAAAACGACATCGTTTTGCATCTATATCAAAGCTCATTTTAATGTTGTTAACTATTTAACGACTGAATGGCCAAAAAACTTAATGCATTAAGTTCAATGAGAAAATTGAAAAGATTTAAAGTACAATGAATGAAATAGAAGATAGAATAAAGTTTAGTTACCAAATATGTAATTTACTCTTATTTATAATATTAAGTATAAAAATTGATAGTTTATTTTTATCTCATTAATACATTGAAAGGAGATATTATTTATTATGTATAATAATTATATATTATGTTAAAAATCCACGAGATTAATGTAGATGTTACTTTTCGTTAAGATTAACCAAGATTCTCTATATGATTATCACTCATTACCCAAATTATAAATTAAAATTATAGATTTAAAAATTTAAATTCGAGTCTAAATCTGAATCTAATTTCCCGACCAACAAAATAATCCAGTCATATCACTGTCGAACATCATGCAGCACATCTCTCACTAACTCCCTCAATCCCACGATAGGTTGAATATTTGGATTTTGGATTCATTCTGCAACAAAAAGAAAAATAGATGGCAACAAGGCTACGAAGATTAAAAAACAATGAGCAATAAT